ATCAACTGGGAGACTGTTAGAAATGCAAATTATTTGGCCCCATGCTAGAGCCAAGTAACTCTGAGGGTGGGCCCTAAGGACATGGATCTTTATAAGCTTCCGTGGTTATTTCCACATTGGACAGTATGAAAAGAATTGATCTAGTGCACAGGGGAGGGATCAATTTTACCTAGGAACACAGACAAGTTATCTGTATAAGAGAAAAGGTGGTATACGTGGCCCCAGGTGAGGTTGCTAAGTAGATATGGTAGTGGGACCTTATGGAAATTCTAATTACTTTGACTTCTCAGTGAAGGAGGAAGATTATCAGTCCCTGTTTTTCCTGCTTGGAGTTGGACTATTAGTTCGAGAGACACAGAGTGACTTTGTGTTGCATAGCAGAGTTGTATTAATCTCCTCATACACTCCAAGTCCAACTCAGCCAATCCTTGCAAAGAGAACCTTCCCACCTTTTCAGGGCCCAGTGTTCCTTAAACTGATCTACACTTTCTGCCCCTGCCTCAATCATGCCATTTCTTACCAAAAATAATGTTGCCATTTATAGAGCATCTGCCATGCTATAGGCACTTTCAAAGATAGTCTCTCATTTTGTCTTTCAGTATAGTCTCATTCTCTCATTCAGTCCTTCCACATAGGTTCATTTATTCATTACTTTACAGATGAGAAGGTGCAGACTTGTCAACTGAACAGTTTATGTACTTAATCACTTACATACCATGCCATGTGGGGTACACAGCATCAACAAAGTGATTTCAACAGTTTATTTTCCTCAATTTGATGCCACACTTCTTACTTTTCCTACTGAGGATGCTAACGGGAATCCATTTTGTTTTTTCCAGAGATCACTTTGACTTAAGTGTTCTTTTAACCAACCAATACAATTCATCTTTCAGTATTCTGCCCAATTGTTACTCTCTCTTCCTCCCCTATTTGCCTCTCCTCCTCTCCTTCCCCTGCCCTTCCCCTTCACTTTCTCCCCTCCCCCTCCTTCTCTTCCTCCTTCAATTATTTCCTTACTCCCTACAGTTGTATCTTTACATCTAATATGCTATTTTCCTCTCTTTCTCAAACCATCCACAAAGTTTAAATGTTTTAAACTACAAAAATAAAGTACAAGTAGCCTATTCTTTATTAAAGTTTCTACTGTTAAACATGTAATATCAGCCACTTTCTCATTTTGCCTGAAGTCAGACTTTTTGGTTTTCTATCCTATTTTATGTGGCCATCAGGTCTTTTCATGTATTTAACTTTTTTTGTGTCTGCCTAAGCTGGGTTCCCCCTAAAACCCACACACAACCACCACCCTAATAGCCCCCAAACTTGGAAGTGTTTTGAGCATTAAGAGACTGTTAAACATTTGTGCTCCAAATCAAGGGAAAAAAGTCTAATGACAGAATATCCCAATATTATGGAAGCTTACCTATAATTCTTCCTTGGTCTATATTGGCTTTTTAATTATTTACTATAGAAGTTTATCATGAAATATTTTCTAGGTAATAGAAAGACAGGCTAACAAAAAAAAAAGTAATAAATACATTAATCAGTATTTATCAGCAGTCCAGGAGCAGTGATACACTGTTGTAGGTTTTACAGTTATTGACTTACACAAACTATGAAAGGAAATAAGGATGTAGTCAGGTCACATTTTCTGTTAGATTGCTAAATTTAGTAATATTTTCACTATTTACTAATGAGAAAACTTTATTTTTTTTCCAGAAAAGTACACAGGATATCATATATAGGCAAATAAATCTAGATATTATCTACATGTCTAAATAAAATTGTTGGTAGTTTAGGACAGTGTGTGCCCAAATTAACCTTTTTTGTCATCTATGTAGGTAGGACATTTTTACTAGGTCCTTTTGGTCTAGGGAAATTAACTCTTTTCTGAACTCCATCTCTAGGTATAGTAATAATAGCAACCAGGGATTTTCTCTACCACAGGCAACGCAACTCAAATCCAGTATGTGACAATGAACTCTATCTTCTCCCCAAGTCATACTTCTACTTCTTATCGTGATGAATAGTATTCACCACCCAAGCCCCAAATCTGAAATTCCTCCAGGTAACTTCCTCTCCCTCACTTATATTGTTTTACTCTGAGTCGGGTCAATTCTACCTCAAATCTTTATAAAATCCATCCTTTTGAACTCTACTAAGTTTCTTATTCCAGGACCTCATCCTTCCTCTCTTGCCTAAAATATGAGGATACGCCCCTAAGTGACTTTCCTGTCTCTGATGTGCTTTGCTGTTCCTGCAACACCCATATGTGTATGGTGCATCATAAAAATGCCCAAACAATAATTTGAGATCTAAATCTCAATGACTAATGACTTCACTGCTTTGCTTAAAATTCTTGAGTTATGAAGAAGATAATTTACAAACATCTTTGGGTGACCCTGGAGGTCTGTGAGCTGGTCACTGCTACCATTTCCAGAATCACTCTTGCTACTTGTTCCCTTACCACCTTTCACACTATTCTTATGGAACTTCTATACACATGGGGTCTCTTGCCCTTACAACAGGTTATTACATAGAATCATCTCCCCCATCTGCAAACTAGAACTCAACTTTTAAAATGGCAATTATGATGATAATCACTTCACTAGATTAGAGCACAAGAAACTATTTAGTTCCTTGTGCTCTAATAGCTATTTTTCCACAATAATTATAACCTAAGCATTTTTATTTCAATGTATGTCATTTAAACCTGTTCTAAACACAATACATTACAGATTTGATGTTGTTGATAAACACCATTGAATCATAACTTTTCACTACTGTTCTCTTTCCATTCTTGAATTACTTGCATCTATGGGAATTACAAGAAGCATTCCATTTGTGTTGTTTTTCTTTATTTCTTCTTTTTGAAAAACATTTATTTTGAGAGAGAGAAAGCGAGAGCACTAGTGTACAAGCAGGAAAGGGCAGAAAGAGAGGGCAAGAGAGAATCCCAAGCAGGCTCTGCTCCTTCAGTGCAGAGCCTGACAGAGGGCTCAATCTTATGAACCAGGAGATCATGACCTGAGCCAAAATCAAGAGTTGGATGCTTAACCAACTGATCCACCCAGGTGCCCATCTTTCTTTTTTAAAAACATGCAAAATAAGAGCATTGATTCTCCCAATATTCAATCCTATATTCTTCTAAAGATGCTATTATTTTGTTTACTCATAGTTCATTAATAACTATAATTACCATCTGCTATGTTGCATCTTAAATTACCCAGCAGTTGCATACATTAGTTTTCGATTTTGGAAATTAAGCTCTTGAAAAGATACTTCCTCTTCTAAATCAGATAGAGTTCCAGGTGTATTTTTCTAATAATTAGATTTGTAAATCCACTTTCCTTTTTTTTATTGCCACATTCTAATACTACTGTAAAATTTCACAGTCTTTTCTACAAATACCCTGTTATTCAAGGCTAAGTATAATATATAAACAAATGTACTTTTATCCTGGTTGATTTCTCATATGATAGGATTGTTTAAAGACACAAAAAAGTAATATTTGGTTTTCTAGGCCTGTGGTTAAAAAAAGTAAGAGTCGACTAGAATCATTTGGATATTTTTTGAAGGAAAAAAAATAGCTTAGATTCCTAAATATTAGAAGCAAGGAAGATTTGAAGAGTCTCTCAGTATTCACCTTAGTTTAAAGTTCTTTCTGAGAACAAAGGGCATACACACCTCTATAAGTATGTATCTCTTTCGATTTTATTAGAGACATTTTCTTTATTTCTCCTGCCAAAACTGCTTATGAAAAATATGTATCTTTGCCTGAGAATTCCAGCTACAAACAATTCCATAATTCTCCTAAGGAATCAAAATAATGTTTCCTTCTTACAACAGGTTCCTTTTCATTTAATTTTCTTTCAGCCATACTTCCCTTCATGTCTCTCTCTACATTTTTTTATTTTAAAACACATATAAGACAAAGGCCTCTAATTTATTCCATTTGGCACCTGAGATTAGGATATGGGCAATTCGTAGTATTTATAAAAAGAATATAATAAAACTACCCATAAGCCCCAAATTCAATATATACATTCACCAGTAGAACCTCTAACAAACAGATCATTGGATTTTAAAGCTGAAAGCAGCCTTAGAGAGCATGGAATCCAAACTTGAAAACTGAAAGCCAAACACTTTTAAGTCACTGGAGAGTCACTCAACCAACCAGAGGAAAATAGGACTAGACCCTCAGCCTCTCGAAATCCAAGTTCTGTGATCTTTTTAAGTAAGTCACATGCTCTCTCATGGCACAGACTTCTGGTACCCATCTGTCACTCCTCACAAGGTGAAAACAGTTAACTGGGTTTGTCCTGTGTCTGAGCAACTAGGAAGCACTCATTCTTACAAGCAAAACTGGGAACATATGAGATTTCCATAACAGAAGCTTTCCTCCAAGGCTGCATTTTTCTCTCTATTCACAAGTAAGCTGCCTAGGGTAATGTTCTCTACAGGCAGTAGCTATTAATCTTTGACCTTTTTTAAGAGACAAAAATGCTAATTTAGGTTGCTGCTATTAAAAAAATTATTCTCAATATCTCAATATCATCTTGGAAATTCTTTGCAGACTTTGTTTTCACGCTCTGCCTAAAAGTACTCTGTGTATGCCGGGAGCAATCTGTAGATACTAAGTTTGATGTTTGAAATGTGCACTTTGGCAGACCTCCATGTAAAGGTATATTTTTTATGAAGAATAGAGAGGAGCTGATTATACTCACAAAAACCCCAGAGGAAACAGACTCTGTTGATAACTGCCTACAGTGGAGCGGGAAGCGCTCAAGTTTCCCTTTCCCTCCAACCTTTGCTCTGATAATTACCAACCAAGCCCTACCAAGAATATTTCATTTGATGAACCAGCAAAGTGTCCGGCAAGAAAGGAAAACGAAGAGCAAGGCACTTCCCACGAGGGTGGGGGAAAGAGGTTCTGTGAGCTTTCCCCACTGATTAGAACCGGGAGACTTGATCTCTTTTCATGCTGTCGATGTGGCTTGCGGCAGTCGCGCCTCCCACTGCCAGCCCAGCACCGGGATCTTAATCAGTCACTATGCAAACTCATTAGCTCCACAGCAATGAGTCCTCCACTGCTGAAGCTTGGCGCTGTGCTTAGTACCATGGCAATGATCTCAAACTGGATGTCCCAAACTCTCCCATCCTTGGTAGGACTGAACACCACGAGGCTGTCGACGCCAGATACCTTAGTAAGTCACTCCGGTGGGTTTGGCTATCCTGGGAAGTAAGTACATTAAACCAGTGGGCTTGATTTGGTAAATGCCAAAGGCTGAGATTATGTTTCTCTATTTACAGGGAGGCTTCAATGATACAATATTTATGTGTTAACTCTAGTCATGGTATTTCTTGGTGAACACTTTAAAGTTACACCAAAAAAATAAATGCACTGAGAAATTAGCTGTGAAAGGAAATATTAGACTCATTAAATTCTTAAGAATGATAAGCTTTAATTTAACTCTATTAATCTGAGGTTTGGAAGGATTCTTTAAGAAATATGTTTTGTTTTTCATTATTTTACTTCTTCTAATGTCTGTAAAATTCCCCTAATGGAGTATATTCTATCTAATGTAGTTTTACTCTAGCAGTCTCTTCCTTGGAATTCAATTCTTGTGACTGTTTGCAATGCCTCCAGTCGGAGAAACCAACTTCTTTTAAACACAAATAAAAAACCTCAGCAATTTAAAGCCTGCCAAAACGACTTTAAGAGAGCTAAGAAACACAATATATAACTCACTTGATGAAATCTCCCTTTACTGTTTAATTTTTTATAAAGACTGTTCTATCATAAGTCTAGCTCCTGCAGTCTTTGTTCACCTAAAAGTAGTGTCTTTTTAACCCTTCTCACAATATAGCAGAGTCTTTTCTGGCAGTTTGAACCATGGTTTACTTAGCAATACTCGAAAACCTTTCGAACAAAGGTTTTTAAGACAGAAGTTACAAATTCAAACAGAAGGAATATCCTTGAAAGATAATCTCCCTGCTGTCAAATAAGAATATAGAAAATAGTAGTACTTAGAGCTCTTTACCTTTTTGTTTTTATCTGTTTTTTACCACTGGATTATTCTAGTCTAATACTAAAAGGTCAGACAGATACTAAAAGAATAGTAACCCTCCATTTTCAAGACTTATTTGCTTTATTACTAAGAATTAATCCAGCAATGTGCAATTAACTGAGTAAAGTCAAATCAACTTAATTATATAATTTACTAGATTCCCCCAATGCTTAGGGTATCAGCAGAGCACATGTGAGGCACACTGTCACCCACTTTTATGTTTACCTCCCGTAGGTCCCTTAGGCCACCTCAGCACCTCTGCTGTTAAATGTCTCCTCCTTAGCTGCATGATGTATATATGGCAGGAGAGATGTTAAAAGATTTCTAGTTATAAAGGAAGCATGCTAGGTCTTCAACAGTTATAAAATCAATTTACATTATGTAATGTATACTGCCCTAAATTTGCTTGATGTTCAAGAACCTGATAGTTCTCAGCAACTTAGTTGAATTCTTTCAGAAAATGAATCTAAACTAAGAAATTCATAAATAAGTCATATTCCAAACTTGGTACCTTAGTTCTGACATGTATATTTTTTGTGTAAATGGACATTAGTTTTGTTACTTCCTACTGTTGTTAATGGAGAAGAATCAAATTTCTAAAGTTATGCATGATTCTTTTAGGACTTTTGGTTATCATGTAAGGTTAAAGTAAATTCATTTTCTTTACTTCCTGATTAGTAATTGGTTGGTTGAAAAATATAAAGCATTGCTATGGTCTGTGAATGTTCTGACACAACCCAATTTTCCTTTAAGTGACAAAAAATCAGGGAAGCTTACATGATGGTACTCTTCACTGGAAAGGAGAAATCAGCTTGCAAAAAAAATTTTTTTTAATGCTTTACAGAAGTGGCATACCTTACAGAAGAACAATGTCTATGACATTTCCTTACCTTAATTATTCAAGATAATTGCTCAGACCTTACAATTCCCATGGTGAAGAACGAATGAATCTTTATTTCCCAGATTAAGATCATAAAATGTTAATGCTGGAAAGGATTTCTGAAACCATCCAGGCCAGTTATCTTCACACTGTTTTTGGCAGCAGTGTCTTTTTCCCCCCACATTAAATTTTTTTTTTGATAGAGATAGTGTGAGCAGGGCAGTGTCAGAGAGAGGGAGACACAGAATCTGAAACAGACTCTGAGCTGTCAGCACAGAGCCCGATGTGGGGCTCAAACCCACGAACTGTGAGATCATGACCTAAGCCGAAGTCAGGCACTTAACCGACTGAGCCACCCAGGCGCCCCGTCCCCCACATTAAATCTTATGTAATACACACTGAGCAAATATTTGTTGAGCAATCCTGAAGTGGAAATCCAATTTGTAAAGCAGGTGATGGGTCAAATAATAAGTGATGAGGGTGATGGGGGAGGCATTGGGCTTCTACCATCAGCTCCCTTCCCACACAATCAATCCCTTGCCCTAGACAAGATTCCTCCAGAGAAACCTTATGGCATTCAAGAGCTGAATTGGAAATATGAATGAGCTAATCCAATATCCTCATGCTACAAGTGGGAAGAATGACCCAAAATGTGGGACTCAACACATTTTCCCCAGCTGGTGAATGACAGAGGCAAGGGTGGATGCAAGTCACCTGGCCACAGTCCTGATCAGAAAAATGGTCTCGTTCTTACAAGTCTTTGCCCGTCCTGGCCCTGGTGGCCACAGTAGGTTCTCTCTACCCTGCTCAGGTGGTTTCCCATAATTCTGACCTCCACTTCCCTTAGACAGAAGGGTTAATAGTACCCCTCCCTGGAGGTTGGGTTTTGATGTCCTGCACCTTTCAACATTCTTGATCTACATTCTTACTTTAAACAGTATGAATGGGATGCACCTGCAATTATGTAAAGATTAAAAAAAAAGGTCTTAAAATTTGTTATATGAGTGCTTATGGGATGTGAAGATGGTAAAAAGTGCAGATTTACACAAATGTGAAGTCTTTCTTTAGGAGAGTAGTTTCAAAAGATCTGAAAAAATGGTTTTAAGAATTAAATATGGTTAAATCTGTTTATAGCGAGTCTCTCTGAAACAGTGTCCATTTGATGGCCTCAAAAGCTAAAAATGGTTTTTAAATTTCCAGGATATTTTTGTTAATAAGTAGTTAAATACAGCTCGTTAATAGAGGAATATGTTCCCTCTGGGTTTTGTTAGAATCTTGAAACATTTCTTTATTGTCCTCTGCAGCCCTGTTTTCTTTCTTCTTTCTTTTTTCCTTCCAATTTATCACTGGGCCCATCAGCCTTTGGAGAAGCTGTTGTCTGCAGAGGTGAAGCCTTGGCTCGGTGAGAGCTCAGGCTCGGTCTGGCACTTCTCTCTGATGCAGAGGAACTGGCCCTTGAGGCTGAGCTGAGAAATCCACATTCTCTCCCTCCCCAACCCCCACTGCTGTGGACTCCACACCAGGAAGAACCTGGAAAAGAGCAATTAAACAAGCAGAGGACATTCAGCAGACACTAGCTGTCCCCAGTCAGCCCCACTCCTGTGGTGGCAGGAGGCCTCAAAGGGAACCTGTAGGCCAAAGTGATTTGTTTTACTACAGTTTCAAATATCTAGTTGATGTCCCATAAATAACTATTTCAATGAGTTGGTCAGTTTTAAGTTCCTTAAAATGAGTAGAATGCTCTGATGCAAACTCTCTATACTTTTCTAAGTTTCTTATTCTCAGCTCACCATCTTTTTACAGTCTGCATGAAGGAAGACACCTGACTTCAGTATTTTACAGACTGATTTTCTTTCTCAAATCCTTAGGCAATACCCCTTTTGCGAAAGGGCAACTAAACAAATTTAAGGAGTGGGAAATGGATGAGAGAACAGAACTGCAAATCTTGAGAGCCACAGAGAAAGTGATAATTGCCTTTCTGGACAAGAACTGTGACATGGATTTATTTACTGAGTAGATTTATTCTTGTTTAAGTACTTAAAGCAGAAGTAGGGCCAAGAAGGGAAGATTACAAAGACAGATGTTCAGGTCAAGTCCCTCAGCTTTCCCCCAGAGGAAGGGGCTGTCTAGGAGGCAATGAAACTCTTACCATGCAGAGCTCAAGTGGAAATACAGTAACTGACAGAAGTGTGATGGAGTGGAAGGACACAGGACCAGATACAACCTCTGAGTCTTTTCCAACTCAGTCTCTGACTTCCAAAACATGAGGCATCCAACCAACCTGAATTTCAATCTTTGTTTTTTTTGTTTTTTTGTCTAGTTGTTGTTTTGTTTTCACAGTTGCTTTTCTTAGAGCCTTGAAGTTTCCTTGAGTGAAGAATAAGCATTTATTTTTAAGAAAATAGCACTTTCTTGGGGAGCACTGATATGATTTTGGATTGGTCTACTTTCAAGCAGACTTCATTCAGTCATGCAGACAAATAGTGTTAACTAAGACTTCGTTTTGCCAGTGGGCCAGGCACTATTTCAAGAGAATTACAAGTATTAACTCATTTAATCTTTACAACAGCCCCACCAGATAGGTTTCATTACTATCCTCATTTTCTGTAAGGAGACACTGAAACACAGTTTGAGTGATGGAGCCATGAGCTGAACCCAGGTAGTCCTGCACCAAAGAAAACTAGGCAAGCTCCTAACGCTGGGGACAGCCTCTAAGACAAGCCGTAGGAGGAGGGGTGACATGCTGAGTGACCTTTCACTGGTCACCACCTCTTATCCAACTTGCCCCCAGGATGACCAGACCATTAGTGGTCTTCCAAGGGTTCAGAAAGGAGTCTTTCCATTTCTTATTCTATTTTGTTTCACTCGTTAGAAGGACAACATTTTAAAAGAGGTGAAAATCATGACTCTCCTATAGAAGAATATGCATTTCTTATTTCAGTTCCAACTCATCTCATAAGAAATAGGAAGAAAACTGCTGCCATGCAGTGACATCTTTATTAACACATCCTCCAGAACACAGCTTCTTTCAGCGTGGTCTGTCAACCTCTCTCTCATTCCTTTCCTCACACTGCTCCTCTCTTCACAATGAAAGCCATTAGCATGCTAAGCCACGTTTCACTCTGAGATCAAACCTATCCTCAGACAAAAATTTATAAGGGGCTTCATCAGTTAGGCATCTCCACTCTAAATTCAATAGCATCTAACAAATGGATTTTGTGCTGATTTCCCCCTACCTTATGCACCACTTTCCATA